ACACACACACACAGACAGACAGACACACACAGACACCTTATTTTGTAAACAGTCTAAAATCATGAGGCTGGTGAAGACTCAATCCTCTCGTCCCACAGTGACACACATCATGTTTATTATTCTTTGATGCATCGATAATCGTTTAATAATCGAATCACAGACCTGAATCAGAATCTAATGTTAAACGTTGACCTTCCTCTGACTGTGAAGCTCTGTGATTGGCTGTTAGTGAAATGTGTAAGCGTTCACGGACTCTGTCGTCTGCAGGTACTCGTATGATTCCTGCCGACTTCCTCATTCCTGCTCAGTCTCAGCATCCGATCAGAGACAACCTCCACCACAAGGTAACGTCTCCACTTTACCTCAACGTTTCATGAGGATCAGCTGACAATCAGCTGACTCACGGTTGAGTCTTTGACCTTTGACCTGCGTCCAGCTGAGCTCAGCCGCTCGTGATGTCGTGTGCTGGTTTGTCGTTCTCAGATCCTGGTGGCAAACTTCTTGGCTCAGACAGAAGCTCTGATGAAAGGAAAAACCACGGACGAGGCTCGTAAAGAGCTGGAGGCCGGCGGCCTGAAGGGCGGCGCTCTGGAGCAGCTGCTGCCTCACAAAGTAAAATGATTTTATGGGATGTCAGGTTTCATCACTCACACTCAGTTAGTTTTAAAACTCACTTGTCTCACTTGTCTTTCACTTTAGGTTTTTCAGGGAAACAAACCGAGTAACTCCATCGTCTTCAAGAAGCTGACGCCGTTCATTCTGGGAGCTCTGGTCGGTAAGTGAGACATCAGAGGACAGAGAGTCAATCAACAGGTCAATCAATCAATCCGTTGTCTGATCATTGATGTGTTTTGTTTTTCAGCCATGTATGAACATAAGATCTTCGTCCAGGGCGTCATGTGGGACATCAACAGTTACGACCAGTGGGGGTGAGCTGCACCACACTGTCTTCACCAGCAGAGGGCGATAGTCGGTATCTAACAACGTTAAAGACAGAGAGAAATAAAAACAGGAAATGTGTTCAGGAGGTTTTCTATGTAGGCTGATGAAGCTCGTCTGTCCCAGGTGACATCATCACTCTTAACATCGGCGGGTTTTTAAAGGTTTTCCTCAGAGTCAGTGTGTCCTCAGGACAGTGTGTGTCCTCAGAGTGTGTCCTCAGGACAGTGTG